CCTCTTCAGCAGGCGCGCGCGGCTGGCTTGGCGAACTCACCCAGGTCACCAAAGGGCTCTGGAGAAAGAGCTCCAGGAGTTCAGAAATGGTCACATCCATGGCTGTCCCGCGGGAAAGGGGGGTGGGATGGCGGTTCTTCTTCTGTTTTGACTTGGATCGGTAGCGACGGAGGAGGAGGGGGGGCTGGAGAAAAAAGGTGGCTGGCTGGCTGGTTGGCCGGCCGGCCCGCCCGCCCGCAGGCTCACTCGGGAAACAAAGGCGCGGAGCCCATGGTGGCCCGAGAGGAGTTGCCTGCTAGGGAAACAATGCGCGGCTCATCTCTTTTCCCCTCCCACTAGCCTGAAAGGGGGGGGAGGGAGGGGGAGAGAACTACACACACAAACACACACACACTCGGGGGTGCGATCAGTCCCCTCTCCTCCTCCTCCTGCGGTCTTGCAAGCGCCCTCCTCGCGCGGCGACCTCGGCACCAACTTGCGGAGCGGGAGGGAAGGACGGAAGGCAGCGGGGGCGCGAGCGGCGCTCGTGGGGGGCCGGCGGTGGCGGGGAAGAGGCAGCCGGGCACGGGCGTCCTTTCGTCTGGCGAGTTCCGCTCGCGGCCCCTCACCCAGGAGGCGGCAGATTTTGGGCACGCGGGAGGGGGGGCGCGCGCGCGGAGGCCAAACAAACAAGCAAGCAAACAAAAAGAGAGGGGCGTGTGTGGACTGAGTAGGAGTCCTCAAGAGCAGCCTCGGAAACTTTTTCCTCTCGTCCTGCCACCAAAACCGAGGGGGCGGCACGCGCGGCCGGGCTCCTCTGCGCGCTCACGCGCACCTGTGCCCCCTCCGGCCAAGAAGGGGCGCGAGGCGCCGGCCTCTGCTTTGCCCGCGGCCTGGAGCAGGTTCTCTCGCCGGCCACCCAAGCGGGAGGCGGAGAGGACGGGGCGCGCGTGGGAGGAGGGCGGAGGGTTAAAAAAACAACACACAAAACCCCAAAACAACCGGGACTGCTTTGATCGACGTCGCCGGTCGCAAATGAGAGTCTGGGGGAGCGAAGCGAAGCGGAGGCGGCCAATGGAAGGGGCCTCGGGGCTCTTGGGGCTGGGAAGGTGTTAACAGGTCGGCGAGGCGCAAGCCCGAAGGCGGTCGGAGCGCTCCCGTAGCGCGCAGCCCGGCCCTTCCGAAGTCGAGGAGTCTCATTGGTTCTTCTTGCTTTGCCTCCGGGAGTAAAGACGCCGAGCAGAAGAGGAAGGGGGCGCCTTTCTTAAGCGTGCCGACCTTCCCTCCCTCCTGGGCTTCGCGCTCGGCCCTCGTGAGCCTTTCCCGGCCAGGAAGGAGGGACCCCCACCCCCACCGCGTGCAGGCATGGAGGGGCGGGGGCGAGAGAGCCCGAGCCGCGTTCAGACGATCGTGGGGAATCCGGGAGGAAGGGCGGGTGGGAGAGAGCAGCTCCGGCTTAACTCGGCGTTGGGACGGGGCGGGGGAAGAGGATAATTCCGGCCCATCGTTTTGGGCGCAAAACAATCCCGCCCAATAAAGAGCCCCAGAAAGGGGGGGGGGAGCTTTCCTCCCGATAGAGTTAACAGGACGTTTTTCTTGCGTGTTGGTGCCCTTTCGCGATCAGGGCAACGGCATCAGGCGGGCTCGTGGTGCGGAGACTTGGAACTCGTGCCAGAAACGTCCAGCACGCAAAAGGACCGCTTCGGTCTTCGGGGATGAATTTAACCAGGAGTCGCGGGAGGACAGGCCGCTTGGCGGACCGCTCATTCATGGGGTTCCCAGGATGGTGGTGTGGAGAGATTGACGGGCTAGGACTCCGGAGACCGGATGGGGGGAGGCTCACCCTTGGAAACCTCCCCCCTAGGAGGGGAAGGGGGGTTGGTTAAACCCTTCCTTAAAGAGCTCCTCAACCTTGAAAGCCCTATTAGGGTCCCTATAAGGCACAAAGCGCGCGCGTGAATCGGAGGCGGCTGGAGGGCAGGTCGCAGCAACAACAAATTACACTGAACAACCAGCCAGGTACTTTTCGAAAGGCACCAAACAAGTAAGAACTTGCTGGCGCCCTTTAGAGCCACACGAGGAGTCAGTGAAGTGTTTGTACTGTACTTTCTAGCGGGAGTGTCAACCTCAAGCTCTGATTTGAGATTCACATTTGAGGGAAGTAGGCTCCGGTCCCACGCCGGCTTAGTTGGGGGGGGGGGAATAGACTCCATGTCATCATGAATTTGTTCTGCTTCAACCGACTAGAAGGCTCTTTGTTGTAGACAAACCAGCTACCCCTGCAAACTTAAACGGGCAGGGTTTTTTTTTTTAAATGAAAGGTATCCATTTCATTTGGATTCAGTAAACCGAAAATTTCCAGAACCTTATTAATTCATGGGAGGTGCCAACGTATCCCTATTGCCACCGTCTAATTTGTCAGTGGCAGAAAAAACATCACGCAGTTTTCGTTTAAAACGAGTTACAGCGAGATCACAGACCTTTTTTAAAAAGGGATTTTTTTCATATGCCTTGTTTTAAAGCACACAAGGGACCTGTGCAAGCCACATGCTAATGCTGGTAATGGAAAAGTGCACATTCAAAAGCCTCCAAAAGGTGTAATTGTTTTAACACGATTGCGACTAACATCTATTTCATGCCCAAAACCTGTCTTTCAAAACTAGAAGTTACCTTCTGGGTTTAAAAGAATAAATGAGCCTACCCCCATTGTGACTGCAAATGAGGCTTTTATGGATCCTGGATCTTCTTGGACCTTAGCATTGGCAGAGACATCCCTGTTAGTGCTTTCAGGATAATCTAACTCTGTGCTAACAGTGCCCTAAAAATGGCTAATCATACTTAAAATAAATGATCACGTTGGTATAACTCATAAAGCAGGATGATACATATCTACTGCTAGAATAGTTGTAATAACCATATGGTTTAGATCCATTTGAATTTTGACCATAATAGTGATGTAGATTTTTTTAACAGAGAAACCTACCTCTTGGTAAGTCACAGTATTGTAATGACCAACCAAAATACCATTCTTGGTTCTGGGAATAAACAATTCCAAGTGAACTGAAGGAAAACACTTTCTAAACAGGTGCACAGTCTGTTGAGGAAACAGCAAGAGAATCTCATTCATCAGGTCTCTTAAAGACTGCTAACTAAAGTGGGAAATCACTTCCTGTTTATATAGCATTAGCTCTACACACTCCACTAAGTCAGCACTGCTGGAGATACGAATCTTTGCTAAAGTGCTTTTGCTAAATCTAAGAAGAGCCAGCCGGGGTATCAGTGTTTCAGCTTTTTTATAATTTTGTGTACTCTCAGTGGGTTTAGATTTAGATGTTTCAGAGACAAGTAACCTATTTATTTGATTTCTACATACCTTTCTCCTAATAGGTGGTGAATCTATAATATCCCAAATGCCACAGAGGTCAGAAATGGAGGAATTTTTTCCCCTAATTTATGCACCAGCTGTAAGTTATATTACTTGATATAACTTTCAGGTGGGGGCTAAAGCTGCCAGAATTATAGCTCTCAGAATTTCTGTAAGCCTCTGGATGTTATAATTTAAAAAATTCAAACATCCTGTCTCTAGAAAGTGTAATAAGGACTGCTTGTTCTTCCTGTAACTAGCTCTGGTGCAGCATCCCGTAGCCATTGAAGTCATTCTTCATGGTTGCTAAATGCTCTAAAGTGAAGAAAGGAGACAGAGATACTAAGAAACAAAAGAAGCAAAGCAATCAGGAAGAGGGGATGGGGGTTCAAACAGGAAAAAAACACCTTTAGCAATAGGTTAGTGGCAAAGGATAATCAGCTTAGGCTGTGAAGAACTCCTCCCACTGATACATAGTACACACAAGATTGTTATTAGTTCAACAACAGGATGGGACCTGCTTGAAGGCCCTTAGGTGGTTTAATCATATCAGTTTAGCAAAGGTCCATGTCATGGATTGCATCCTACAGCTTCTGTAAACTGTTATTTCCTACTTTGAGGGAAGACCATGACCTATTTTTCACTGTGGATGTGGAGGCACGGAACAAGAACTGTGAAAATTTATTTAATATGACAGTTTGGCCACTGAAATGTCAATCTTGTGGGAGGAAAAGGCTGGGAAAAGTGTATGCATGTCTATTCCCTTTCAATAAGCATGAATGTCATTGCAATGTAAGAATGTGTGCACCACCTAGTGGCTACCCCCCCCCCCGAAACACAACACACAAGAGTAAGAAAATCAATGCTATTGGCATTTAACATTGAATTTAACTCATTAAATTAATGTTAATACAGCAATTACAAAGTTACTTTTGGATTCCTGTGACTACACACTTCCAATTTCAAAAGGGAAAAGCACCCACTGATAGCTCCCTTTCCAAAAAACATTTATACCAGGTCTAATAAAGGTATGTGGACTGTTCACACTAAGAAGCCTAAATTAATGCTATATAGCAAAAAAAATCTATGTTATTATTTTGCAAAACTTAAGTGAATTATGGATACCTACTCGGGTGTAGTGAGTTTGAATCCCTGGTTGGCCATGGACACTGGGAAGTGACACTGGGAAAATGATTCCTTAAATATCTCTCTTACCTTGAAATCCTATTAGGATTGTTGTGAGTAGGACTTGACATGTAACACATATTTGTAAATTACAGTCCTTTTCTTCTGTCAAGAGACAGTTGATTACTTTGAATTACATTTCTTCAGCTAAGCCATATTAGAAGTTTTCATTGGAAATACAGTCTTCAGGGGAACCTGGCTCAGAGCCTCCTTTCCACATCCCTTGTTACTGAAGCCATTGCTTCCATTCCTGTTGCACCCAAATCAGTTCAACAGGACTGTCTCACTCCTGAGGGGGGGCATGGGGTGAATCTCCTCCCTCCAAAAAGTATCTATAGGTACAAGAAAGGATTCCCCCGAACTGCTGAAACTATACAGGTCTGCTGTGGATCTGGAAAAAACCTTACCTACTACATAATGAGTTAACAGAGTTGTTTTTACATTCCCATGGGTGCCTGCAGATCTGCCTGTTTGAATGTAACAGAAACTGAACTGAAAGAGACATGGTTTGTAAGCAGCCATCGCTGTCCAATGAGGTATGAGGTATTAATAAACATGTGAAGTCTTAATTCAACTTAGTACTGTACTTCTGTACTAGAGGCTCTTCTTGCAGCACTAGAGGCTTCCCCCCCCTACGTTTCCATCTTTTCCCCCCTTGTCATTCAATTTTGCTGCTTCCATGGGAAGCAGAGCTTTCGCAATAGGCTGGAAATTCTTTTTCAGTGTACAGAGAACTTCAGGAGAGGAACCATGCAAATCATCTCAGCTTCGTCTTGAACAGAGGCTACTAGTTTGTAGTTTTGCTCCAAATCCTTCCTTTTGGAGAGGGGGAATAAGCCTTCTGTAGACAGCATAGCAAACTAATGCATTTCAGGCAAAGCCCTCATTAATGCTTTTGAAATACTGGTTTTTTTACTATTTGATTTTTGAGAATTTATTAACCCTCCTGCCATATCTTTATTCTTATACTTTCACCACCTTGTATCTATGTTTTTTGGTTTTATTGTTTTTAAATTTGTAAACCGCCCAGAGTAGACCTTTGGTCTAGATGGGTGGGATAGAAATCCAATAAATAAATAAAAATAACACGTTCATTCTAATGTGTTACATCCTTGCTGAATAGGGCTTGTTTAAAACATTATACTATCAACTTAATGAAGAATTTTTGAGAACTCAAAAACTTTGCTTGTTTGTAACTTTATCATGAATGATCCAATAAAGGTATTTTTCAGTCCAGAACTTTGTTTTTATAGCTCTTGTCTCACAGTATTTTTCCCCAGTGTTGAAATACATATACAGTAGTTAAGTGATGCAGAACCCAATGGCACCACTGATTTCTAAGCTCTTGGAAACTGACCAGATACACCAAGACATATTAAATGTATTGTTTTATCAGGTGTTTTAGTCATTTCATTTCTAGATTACTGTACAACCACCTTAGACTATATGTTGTCCGTTTTCAGATCTCCCCATTTATCATAGTTTTCCACTTTTTGTCGTTGTTAATCAGAGCATCATATTTGGAAAGGAAAGATGCAGTTCATAAAGTAATCGGAAGATATTAAGAATTATCCCAGCTTGGCTAGAAGTTACAAAGCTATCATGGAAAACCGATTCATATTAGAAATACACAATACAAATGGAGACTGGAGGACATCCCCATCTCAATGCACAGATGCTAACAGGCCAGGGGACCAAACATTCTGTAATCATGGCACTTGTCTATATATACACATATCCAGAATTAAACTTAATTTAAAACAGTGAGATTATGTCCGAGTAGAAAGTACCAAATTGTCCTATAAGATTACTAGGTCTTGTTAAGTGTGGTAACAAAAGAAACTCAAGAATGCAATAGTGGAGAAAATTATGTTTTCTTACAAAATATATATAATGCAAATGTTGCACTTTAAAAGACTTTTAAATGTGTCAGTAGTGTCATGTCCTTAAAAAAAAAAAAGCAGCTCTGAAACAAAATGGTTGGAGGCTGGAATTTCCCAACTGAAGACCTTTTCAAATATACTTAGCACCAATTGTAAACAGAGTGATTCGCCTCTTTCCAGCCATCTCCCAGCAACCGTCTGAAACATCAACAAAGCCTACTCATTCATAAATTGTTCCAAACTGTTAATTCTTGAAAGGTAGAAACAGGCTGGCTTTACAAAATGATAGGAAAAAGAAAAGGTAGAGGTCTAGCAAGCCACCCTTGTTTTTTTTTAGTGCTTAGAAGCAGCATGACGAATTCTGTTCCTGGTAACTTCAGAAGCCCTGAGAAGCAAGAGATAATATTTTGAAATTTCCTGAGTATTTCACTACAGATCTACAAAAATTGATACACACCCCCATTGTTCAGGCTAGACTAATTTTACCAAAATGTATTCAAATAGAGCTTGAACATTTGTATAATCCATGTGGCATGAACAGAAGCTAGCACAATCATCACATTTCTCATGCACAATCAGTTAAACCTTGTGAATCCAATGAAGACCGCATCAGTATGTATTGGTAATGTCAAGTTATGAGATTAAAAAAAAGAACAAACCTGCCACTGGGCAGCCTGGTTTAATTATCACCCTGCCAGCTGACCAGAAAAATCCGATTACTGTATTTGCACTTATGAGAAATATAATGTCAGCCCTCCATTTTATCACCTGTTTGTATTGGAATTTATCTTCTTTTTACTATAAATTTAGCTGGAGGGATTGGGGTAGAGAAACTGAAATACAGAACTGACAATTTCTAAAATAGACCACACATCCACTGACGTATAAACTTTACTTGCCACACGGCACAATACTACAGCTAAGCTCACCATTGTTAAGAGTGTTAAGTTCACTTCTTAACAGAGAAGACAAGAAGTTATGTTGGCTGAGAACCATCACTGGAAACATTCCTGCCCTTTCATCAGACCAAATTGAAGGCCTGCTCTGAAAAATACACAAACCTGAATTTTTGTGCAGTATGTACTAGCATGAAACAGAGTTTGGTAAAATATTGACTATGTTCCCAGAAATAATTAATACCCTTTAGCAGGCATTCTAAACTTCAGCAAGGTTTTTAGGAACATAATATATGGGCTATTATCCTCCAAGCCTAGCTACGCAGGTAATAACAGTGTAGCTGATGCCACAGCTATGATAGTTCTGAAGCTTCTTCTGCTGTTAATACACATTGCAAAGTATGTATAGTTGGACCCCCCTATCCACTGTTTCAGTTACCATGGTTTCACTTAACCATGGCTGACCATGGTCCAAGATGAAGGGCAATCGCTTCATCATCTCCCCATCTGCTTTTTCAGGCAAGGGAGTGGTGGCACATTCTCCAAGTGGGTGTTTCAAGGGACAGAGCTAAATCATTGTTTCCTCCAATGGGACAGGTTGCAGGTGGCTCAAGTGCTCCTCAAAACCACATGTGCGGGGGGGGGAGTTTGTAATCTATCCTTCACATATATGGGGATCCTACTGTAAATTTCTGAAATTATGCAAGTTATTTCTAATTATGCTTCATTTAAATTTGCTCTTGCTCTACTGCCAGTGTCATATCCCTAACTGTATAGATTACATATTCACTCTAGGAAAAATGGACTGTGTGTTCCTACAGGGTAATGCTACAATAAATCAGCTGTCTTCCAGGTGGACATGCTTTCTTCTTTTGCTGCAGCAAAGTTGGCTAGCATGTGGAAATAGTCATTCAGCCCTGTATCTAACAGAAAATGTCAGATAACTTGTATTAAGAAAATATGGCAAAATTGACATATCCCCAGTAAGAGTTCTTGCTATCTTTTCCAAATAGGAAAAAAATAAGCTTCAATTCCTCTTGCACATAACATCAGGTACACTCAGATCCTTCTCAAAGTTAAAAATTCAATCATCAGTAGCTTCTATCTCACAAGGAATGACATCTTCTCAGGATGGATACCAACTTAGCACTGGATAGCATTTGTTTGACTTTAGGAACTCCTGAAAGCTGGCAAATCCTCTGTAATTAGCTATACCAACCCATCTCATAGGAAAATACATTTTCATTAGATTAATTGTGGGCTTCTATCTGTCATCACCTATTCCAATTGTTCTAATCCAGATGACTCTCTACAACATTCTCCAGACCTGCCAGCCTTTCTTGAAACCCATGATAAACCACATTACACCACTTAGTCCATATGACAGTTATAATTCCTGATATTGCTTCTTATGCTTACCCCTTATGTGATACCAAATCATGAGATCAGGGTTGGAGATTCCACTGATATCAACTGGAGGAAACCACTGGAGAATTCTGCTATTCTATGCACCCAAGGCACACGATTTAAATTTTAAAGCAATACTCAGAAATATAATTCAATCATTTAGCTTTTTCCTCTCTCCTCAAAAATACAGTACATTCTTGCTTATTATATTCCTCATGTATTTTATTTATTAAATTTATATTCCGCCCATTTAGACCCAAGTCTACTTTTTACAGTTTCCTTGGCCTTTACTCGCTCTGACTCAAACTCCAATAATCCTCTTATTCACAGGCAGTACCCAGTGTCCAAAGTATGTATTGTTACTGCCTTGTTAGGGTTACCACTCTAAAGGAATCAGCATCCCTTAAGAAAGCTATGGAAAACAATCTTGGTTCGGTTGTTTGTGGTTTTTGAGTTTGCAGGAACTAAAATCAGACCAGTCTACAATAAGCAAACAAGATAGCCATCAGCACACTAATAAAGTATCAGTCTAAAGCCCTGAGAGGAAAGTAATCACATGAACTAATAAAAAACCCCAGCATAATACAAGATCATAAAACTGGTATTCCAAAGGGAATCAGAAGTTTTAAAAAATACCACTAATGCAGTAGTTTCCATGTTTAATTAAACTTTTTTATTTCCAAACTCAGATGTGTCAGTGTATTTGTACTCTTAAATAACCATTTCAAATTTGATTTAAATGTACCAGCATAGTTCCCAGTTATGAATTTTCAAAATCTCTTTGGAATACTAATTTCATATTTATATGTTATTTAAAAGAATTAATTAAAATAACCCCTATTTCCCTGAATTGGTTCAAGACATTTGATGATGTAAAATTTAATATAAAATATTTTTGTCACAAAATAGTATTGCTTTTGTATGCACATTGTGGCAAGATTAATATGCTTTTGTCCATAAAAACTATACCATCTCCCATAAAATCCTAAACATATCAAGAACTGTGATGCTGAACAGAATTACACAGGTGAAACAGGTACCAGCACAACAGTGAGATTATATTACATCAAAAAATTTTAATGGTCCCAAATATATACTCAACAATTAAGCATACACTCGGGGCAAATAAAAATAAAATTATGACACAAAAGTGACATCTAGAATTCCATTCAATCTTTTAATCAAGGGATAGACAAATCCCCCACCTCCAAACAAAAATCTGCAGTTTAAAGGGCAAAGGGAACAGATTTTTTAAAAAAGAGGAAACGTATGTTCAGCCCTCCCCCAAAGAGTTTTTTTCTTTAAAACCTGTTGTAGCTTGACTAAAATGTTCAGAATGTATGGTTTAAAGGGAGGTCTCTTTATACAAAGAAACTGCTGGCATTCTTAGCGAGAGAAGAATTATGGCAGAAAAGCCTTTTCTTCAAAGTCTTGTACATGGTCCAAGAAAGCATATTCTGATTGTTAACAACTGAACAGCCAATCCAGAATTCCACTACCAAAATTCCTGCCCTGTTGGCTTTATATTTTCCATTTCCTTCCCTGAGAAAAGGGCAATGCGTGGTCCAAGCTGGAGAGGTCAAAGGCATGTCTTCCATAAAGCGTAGTATTTCCTCTTCTTCTGCTCCTTCAAATTGGCACTTGATTAGCAGAATTCCAATTTTTTTTTAAAAAAAAGCTGATCTGTGTTACACACAGTAATCCACTACAGACTGCAGTTTTTGATTATGGCCTGTCCCACCCCCTAGAAACCTAGTTTATCACCCAAGCAGTATCTTGTATGTTGATCTTCACAGGTGTCATTATGAGGACTCTAGCTTTGCTTTCTGTGACAAAGGTAGGCTTTCTTCATCATCCTCATCATCATCATCAGGGTAATCTACAAGCCCCACTAATCCTCCCTAAAAATAGGGAACATAAAAACAGTGATTATGCATCTTTCAAAAGAAGTTATCTATTTAAATATTTCATAATATTATTTCTAAGAAATAAGAACTGAAAATAAGACATGCTAAAAATTACAAAAAGAAAATATAAATTAGATTTACAGAGAAGTCAAGAGAAAAAGAAATTGCTTTATTTGCATTTGCTGAGACACTCTATTCAGTTGTTCTTAGAAAATCTGAAGACCACACACAATGAGGGCAGCACACAAGCCTTACCCTCTATCATCATCTGAAACACAGGAAATCACCAGTATGAAGGAAAAAGACTGCTCTTACCCATGTAGGCTTTTCATGTGAAGCAACTACAGAAAATAAAGATCCTGGCTTACATGGAAAGCCCAAGTTACAAAACTCTCTCTCTACAGACTGTCACTTTCATATGATGAAAACAAAAATGGAGGAAGGTAGGGCTAGCAAACTCATCCTGCTATGTGTGCCCCCTCCTCAAAATTTGAAAATAAATGAAGACAATTTAGGTACATCTGGATTTGTTCATGATGACATGACAACACAATTGGTATAATAAGCATGCTCAAGAAATGCAGTGCTGGCAGAATGGCAAGACTATTACAGGAGGTGGGTTTTTAGGTAACTCTTGTTTCCCCACCATCAGCCCCTGGGGAACCATGTCCGCAACCCAATGGAATCTGATTGGCTTAAATAAATTGGACTCCCTGCCCCTCAAAGAAGCTATGCTCATACAGTGGTGCACCGCACAGCGACGATAATCCTTTCCAGATAAATCATCGCTATCCGGATTCATCGCTATACCCTGTTTAATGCGTTCCTATGGGGGGAAAACTCACCATTATGCAAAGATCCTCCACAGGGGTGGCCATTTTCGCCGCCTCGGTAAGCGAGGCAACACAGCGGGCGGCCACTTTGGAACCGCCGATCAGCTGTGTGAAAATGGGGCCTTTGGAAGGACCCCTGTGGCCTTTGGGAAGCTCCTGCCGCTCAGCTGGGGGAAAACGCCGGCTAGGGCTTTGCGAGGACCGCGGGGGAGGGCTCCCCCACAGTCCTTCCCAAGCCCTAGCTTTGGAAGCTTGCTGGGGGGGCCAGGCGAGAGCGAGGGGGAGGGAGCACGGCCCTCTCCAGCCAGCGAGGGCTCGGAGGCA